TAGGGCTTTATAGGTGATAACCAGCACCTTGAATTGAGCCTGGACTTCGATGGGAAGCCAGTGAAGCTGATAGAGGACTGGGGTTATATGAGAATAACGCCCAGTCCCCGACAGCATCCTGGCAGCAATATTTTGCACCATCTGAAGTATCCGGACTGTCTTCAAGGGCAGCCCCATGTAGAGCACGTTACAGAAATCAAACAGGGAAGTAACCAGTGCGTGTGTCACTGTTGCTAGGCAGCTCTCCTCCAGGTAAGGACGCAGCTGATGGATCAGCTGGAGCTGAAGGAAGGCACTCTGAACTAGAACAGCCGATGGTGAAGCAGCATGGGAGCTGTGGGCCAAAACATCTGAAAGGCCGTAAGTCGCCCACTCTTGCTCTAAAGGCCTCCAAAATCAGCCCAGGCATGGAATGGAGCCCAACACAAGGAGTGCAAACTGACTCTGTGGCCTTCATCTGCACCCTGACCAATGCTCCTATGCATTACTCAATACTTCAGGGCAGCTTCTGGGAAAAACCCCAGAACAAAGAAATGCAATAAAAATGCCTCAACAATTATCAGCACAGTAAAAACACCAAAAACACCATCAGCATAAGGAGCAAGCAGCAGAGGACTGGCAGATCAAGAAAACACCCCCCCCCCCCCCCAAAGACAGTGCTAAAATCCAAACACATGGCCTTTACTTAAGCTGCTGGCTGGACAATGAATCCTACAAAATCCCCGTAAGTCCCAGGTCAGCTGCCACACGGTCCAAGCCTGGAACCTGGAGGCTGAGGGGGGATTTGAGCCACCGGGGGGGGGGCGTGGAGGGAGGGGGCTCCAGGCAACATCTCCCTTCTGCAGAGTTAGGGAAGGGCAACCCAAAAGATCAAGGGGCCGGCCGGAGCGTGTCCCCATTGCGGGGCGGCTGCAGCTCTGGGTACTTCAGCTTAGCAAAAAGGCAATCAAAGACGACACGACGCAGCAGGTATGCAACATGAGGCCTGGGGTGGAGGAAGTGGAGACGGAGACATTTTTCTCCCCCTCCCCTAACCCAAGAGCCCAGAGGGGTCACCCCATGGAGCTGATGGGCGGGAGACCCAAGAGAGATAAAAGGAGGGACTCCTTTACACACCACCAAGTCAAAGTGTGGAATTCACAACAAATTCCACAATCTGTGCTGATGGCCACCCATCTGGATGGCTTCGGAAAGGGGCTGGCCCAATTCCTGAAGGCCATCCATGGCTCCTAGTCCTCATGGTTCTAGGCCAACTCCAGGATCAGAGGGAGTGTGACTGTGTAGTCCAGCTGTTGGGGATCATGGGCAAGAGGGTTCTGTGGTTCTCCTGTCCTGCTTGTGGACTCACAGGGCTCTGGATGGCCACTGGGAGACCAGAACCCTGGACTGGGGTGGGGATGGGGTGGGGGGCTTTGCGGTGATCTAGCAACCCCCCTCTGCTGTTCTCATATTCCTGTCCAGCCCGACCTTGGGTTTAGGACCCCCAGCTCCAGCTCAAAGCAGAGAAGGGGGTCCCGGGCACACCCCAAGACACCCCCCTGCCCAAAGCAGACACTTACTAATGCATTTCAGCTGCGCCTCAGTCCATCGAAACTCTTTCGTGGCCTCATCCTGCTTGCACAGGATGAGGCTGGACGTGCCCGCCTGCCTCTTGTAATTCCTGATGCACGAGTACCGCAGCTTGCCGCCGCTGCCGCTTGCAATCTCCGCATTTTCTACTGGCTTGGGTTGGCCACACTTGTCTAGAATGAGACGAAAGGACAAATTCGCACAAAGACAGGGATGGTGGCCGGTTTGCAGGGGATGCCGTGTGAGGCGAGACTGAGGGAACCGGGTCTCTTCAGCCTGGAGAGGAGCAGACTCAGAGGGGATATGCTGGCGACATACAGGTATGTGTGGGGGTGTCACACGGAGGTGGGGAGAGACCTGTTCTCCCCTGCAGAGGAAGGCAGGATGCGCTCCAACGGAGCAAAGCTCAGGGAGCCAAGGTTCCATTTGGATGCCAGGAAGCCCTTCCTGACGGTTACGACCCGTAGGGTATAGAATGGGCTTCCACGTGAGGTGCTTGAGGCCCCATCGGTGTGGGTGTTCAAGGATAGGCTGGACGTGCACATGGTGGGCATGTTGTGAGCAGAGCTGGCTGGTGCCGGAGGTCAGACTAGATGGCCCGGGAGACCCCTTCTGACTTGCTCTGTTTCTATGTTTCTGTATTTCCATGTTAAGTTCTGATGTCCTGCATTTCTGCAAAGGGCGGAATGCCCCATCCTTTTTTCTCCCTCTGCCATAGTTTCTTTTTTATGCATTTATTTTCTATGTTTTAATATTTATATTTACCGTATTTTTTGCTCTATAAGACGCACTTTTTCCCCCCTCAAAAGGGGAAATGTCTGTGCGTCTTATAGACCGAATGTGTGTGTGCCTGACGCCCGGGACCCTGCCGGCCCGCCTGCACCACATGGCACCACCTGGCCAGCACGCCCTCGGCGCGCCCTGCTCCTCCCCCCTCCTCCGGCGCAGGCGAGAGCTGTTAATCACAGGTCGGGGTGTGTTTTCAAATGGCAACCCGTCTTTTAATGAAGCCCATGGGGAAGTGATGGGGATGTGCCTGTGATTATCAGGAAGCTTTCGATGGATCAGTTATCTGTTAGTGGATCAGACACATTTTTTTTAGAATCAGTGGATACTTGAACAGCATTACCTTCGTGTATGAAGTTTATTCTTCAAAGGCTACTTAGTCCGCTGTGTGTTTGATTTACCATACAATATCTCATTTTTTTGTCAGAAGTTTTTTTCTATTATTTACTAGTAGGGCAGCGTGGACATTACTGGCTTTTTTAGATTTGTTATTGAATTGTCTGCAGCAGCTCTTGTATAACTGGTGTAGATAGTGGATTCCTTCAATAATTCCACTACTGACTAAGAAAGTGATGTCAGTGATTGTGAGCAACAGAGCTTCATAAATTCTGACTCTAGTGATGATGAGTTCTATGGGTTCAACGAAAACTAGAAGAGCACTCGGACTTTAAAGTCTCTCTTTTGTTAATGACAGTGATGATGGTTCTTAATGCCACTGCTGACCGCTGTTCACTTTACAAGGCTGAAATACGGTATTACGGTATTCTGTTATAGTTTATTAAATAGTTTAGTCAACCATTAGATTCAGAATATTTTTTTTCTTGTTTTCCTCCTCTAAAAACTAGGTGCGTCTTATGGTCAGGTGCGTCTTATAGAGCGAAAAATATGGGGACATACAATTCTACTGATATGCCGCCTACTGCCGAGGTCTCAAGGTGGCTTACTAACAAATGCAAGTTCTTACGTCTAAAGTACAAAGTTCTTACATACGCTTCGCAGGTCAAGCAGTTCTCTTATGGAACCCTTGTTATAATTCACTCCTTGTATTCATAAATAATGCTATTCCAAAGGACCGACAAGCCGAGTTAAATTAGAGCCACTCAAATAGCCCTTAAAAGTGAATAAGGTTGAGCTGAATCCTGAACTTTTGCACTGTGACGTAAAAGGGCTCCCTCTTCCGATAAAATTTGCTAATTCTCCTTTCCCTGCGCTTTATCATGAATCCACGTTATTATATAGGTGATGACTTTGGCTTTTCCAAACGGATCTCTCCTCTCCCTTGGTGGGACCAGCTCTGGCTCCTGATGCCTTTTCCGGACATGTTTGCAGAGGTGGCTGGCTGGCCCAGACTGCTGCTGATCTGTCCCTGGCCACATCCCTCGGACGTCCGGTCGCTGGGTGGGATGGACGCGTGGCACCGATTTTCCCAGCTATCTTCTTGTGAGTAACGCCCACTGAGCTAGCCTGGTCTTGGATGGGCAATTAGGACCCGCTGGTGGGGGTCACACAGCACAACTGCCCACATTCAAGAGCTGAGTATGGGTTGCGTGTGGGCTGTCAGAGCACGGTAGGTTTGTTGGTTTGTTTGTTTATATCCTGCGTTTTCCTACAAAAGGCTCAAGGCAGCTTGCATCATTCTCCTCCTCCATCTTATCCCCACAACAACAACCCTGTGAGGCAGGTTGGGCTGAGAGTCTGGGACAGGCCCAAAGTCACCCAGTTGGCTCCATGGCTGAGCGGGGACTCGAACCCGGATCGTTTGAGTCCCAGTCCCATGCTCCTAACCACTGCACCATGCTGCCTCTCAGGGTTGTTGCTGATAGGTGGGTGCTGAACTGGGGATATTTTCTGAAGCACGCTGGGTGAACAACCCATGGCCTGTGAACCGTGATCAACCCATGAAGAGAAACATGTTCTGTTGCTCGGTTGTGAAGAGCGGGTTGTTCAGCCTGGTGTGTTATCTCTGCTGGATTCAGACAACGCGAAACATGAGCCGACAATGCACTGCAGCCACCAAAAGGCGAAGCATCAACAGAAGAATGACTTCCAAATCATGAAAAGTGGTAGTTCCCCTATACTCCTCGGCAGTCAGACCCCCACCTGGAAGACTGTGTCCCGTTCTCGGTACCAAGATTTAAGGGAAATGCAGAAAAATGAGAAAGGGTCCAGTGGAGGGCAACAAAAATTATCCAACACCGCCCTGTAAGGAAACACTGAGGGAACTGGGCCTGTTCAGCCTTGAGAAGAGAAGGCTGAGGGGGGACATGAGATCCCGCTATAAGCACCTCCAAGGCTGTCACAAAGAGGAAGGTCAAGGTCTCTTCCTGCTGATGCCAGAAGAGTGTAGGACACGGAATAATCAGGTTTGCTGCGACAACCCAGATTCAGGCTGGACATCAGGAAGAACTTCCTCACTGTCAGAGCAATGAGACAGTGGAACTGGCTGCCTGGGGAGGTGGTGGGCTCTCCCACACTGGAGACACTCAAGGTGAACCTGGACAGCCACCTGAGTGGGATGGAGTCATGTGGTGTCCTGCAACAGCAGGGGGTGGACCTGATGGCCTTCACGGCCCCTTCCAGCTGTACTATTCAATGATTCTATGAGCGCAATAACTCGCCGTTCGATGACAAGCCACACTCAACCCATGCCCTGGAACCTAGTCCCTGGCTCTACAAAAGGCCCACAAATGGCACATCATGTGCACTCGGGTGTGTGTGCTTGAGGGGAGGGAGCGTGCAAGCGAAAGACAACCCGGCAGGGCTCCCCTGCAACGTTGTGAGCGCAAGATTGTGCAGATCTTCAGAATGAACACCCCAGAGTGCAACAAGAGAGCACCACCTCCAATTCTGAGCTTGAGTGTGCAGGCACTGCCCTGGCACGTCATCACTGAATTTCAGCCGCACACACGTGCCCGGGTGGGACCCGATCACTTCCGTTTCAGGCAGAGTCATTTCCAACCAGCTCTGCTGGCGCTCAGCCTCCAGAGAGCCCTGCACACTTTCAGCTTGTTTGTGTTACTGGCCTTTGCCGTTTTTGTCCCTCCAGGACCAGGACGAGCATTGCGCGGAGCAAAACGAACATCCGCAAGCAGTGCTTCCGCCTTCCTCTTAGCTTCTCTGGCAATCTCCACTCTGTGCAAACCAGGCACTGACTCCACTGCCGTTTCACTCTGCAGAGATGGCTTCCAGAACCATTAGACAAATTCGGGGGGGGGGCACAGCTAACTCTTGCACTAGCCTTCCCCAGTGGGACCCCCTTCTGGCCTACGATTCCCATCATCACTGCGGTAGCGCCGCTTATCTGGAAGGACCAGCCTGGGAGCAGCAAGCTCTGCTTTTTAACTCTGCTTTCTGAGGGGGCCAAAACGGTGTTTTCCTTGCAGAAAATATCCCCCCACGGCTTGCGTTCCTGGCATTCGCTCTGGGGGTACATCAGGCATGGACAGAGATGCCAGATGCAGGCAGGCACCTGAAGCATCTCACAGAGGAAACCCGGAACGTGAGGCACCCAGGAACCACGCAGAGACCTTTAAGCAAATCAGACATCCTACAGCAGTTCGTTTAAAATACTTCTTGGCCACCGTTCACGGGAGAAGCAGCCCCAAGGCGATATGCTGCCGAGAAACCTCCAGCAGCAGCATAATTAATGAAAACCGTAAGAACAGCAGCAGTTTTTGGAAGGAAAAAAGGCTGGGATGTAAATTTTACTGTAAATGTAATGAATCTATAAAGAGCAGCTAACATTCTAAGGAAGAATAAACACCAGCAGAAAAGCAAAGTTGACAACAGCGCCAAGCCAGTGTGAGAAAGCACAATCAGGAGAAGGCTGGAATCAAGTTTCGACGTAGTGCCACACGACAGATTAGCAAAAACTGGACTAGATGGAAAAACTATTAGGTGGATCCAAAATTGGCTGCTAAATCAGACACAAAGAGCACTCATCAATGGCACCTTCTCAAATCGGATGGAGGTAACTAGTGAGGTGCCAGGGGGTTCTGTCCTGGGCCCAGTGCTCCCCAACATCTTTACTAATGATATGGATGAGGATCTACAAGGGATGATAATCAGATCTGCAGATGATACAAAACTGGGCAGAATAGCAAACACCCTGGAAGACAGAATGAAGATCCAGGGTGGTCTTGATAAACTTGAACGCTGGGCTGAAACCAACACAATGAGATTCAATAAGGACGAGAGCCGAGTCCTCCACGTAGGAAAAAGAGACCAAATGCATCGATACAAGATGGGGAATACGTGGCTGCACAGAACTGAAAAGGAAAAACATCTTGGAGTTATTGTGGACCACAGGCTAAACATGACTCAACAATGTGATGCAGCTGCCAAAAGGGCAAATGCTATTCTGCATTAACAGAAGTATTACTTCCAA